AAGAAACCCCCCAAATCTGCCAAGCACCGTGTTGAAGAGCCGAACATCTGGAACAATCGCAAAGTCCGGAAGCGCCCCGAGCAAGCTCATGGCCACCGTCCACCTCCCACCTGCAAATTCTCCCCGGGCTCGTCTCAAGAAGTGCCAGGAAACTATATTGGTATCCAGGGAACTGGAAAAATTGTTGTGCCCAAAGTTCCAAAGAGGGATTGTAAGCACAAACAAGTTCGCAAGCAACTCACATAAACCCTGCAGGTTGAACTGGCCGCCACATGTTCATTTTTCCAGGCCAAGTTGCAAGTTGAAACTTTAGTCAGGACTTGCAGCAGATTTGTTCTGGGAGAAGCACTCTCCGAGTTTCCAGACATGTTGGAAAAATGCAAGAACTTACAGGAAATCCTAGCCCAGGACGCAAGCAAAACTACCACGGCGAAGCCTTTTTCCGACTCCTCTACACTGCTGCTCTTCTGCTGGCCATAGGGCTACAGCCATCAAAGACCCCCCCGAATGCGTCACAGGGCCACTTGCGCCAAGCGGGAGCTGCATTCATAGAAGGCATAGGCTCCAATGCTGTTCACGAAGTCGGTTTTGCCTTTATCGAGCTGCAGCCAAAAGAAAGGCCTCCGTTCCAATGTTGGTCACCGAGCTGGGGATGTCGACTTCTGTGAACTGCGGCCATGCAAGGGCCCCACTTCTAATGCTGGTCACAGAGTTGGGGTCTTCGGGAACTGCAGCCAGCAAAGGCGCAGCGCAGAGATATTTCGATTTGTGTCAAAGAGCTGCAACCATGAAAAGCCTCTGCTCCAATGCTTGTCACGGAAATGGGAACTGCTCCTGTGGCACTCACAAAACTTTCCAAAGGTTTCCTCTAGACTTCAGGCTTGCTGCCGGCCAAAAGCGAAGGGCTGCAACCTTCAAAGACACCGCTCCCAATGCTGCTCACAGAGTCAGGGATTTCCACTTCATTGAGAGAAGTGCATTCAGCAAAGGCCCCGGCATGAATGGTTGCCATGGAGTTGGAGATTCCTACTCGTGTGAGGGAGCTGCAGCCACGAAAGGCCCAATATGCAACGTGGGTCACGGAGTTGGGGAATTCCACTCGTGTCAGGGAGATGCAACCCATAAAGGCCTCGGGTCCAATGCTTGTCACAGAGTTGGGAATCTCCACTTGTCTCAATGAAGTGCATTCAGCAAAGGCCCCGCCTCGAATGCTTGTGACAGAGTCAGGGATCTCGACATGTGTCAGGGAAGTGCAGCGAGCAAATGCATGAGATCCAATGCTCACCACTGAATTGGGAATCATAACTTTCACCAACACTTTGCAACCACTAAATGCTCGATCTTCAATGCTTGTGGTTTCAGGTGGAATCTGCACATAAAGATCTTCACCTATCTCCTCACCTGTCCAGCTGGCCATTTCAACAAAGGGGTCCGACCAAAGAAGGGAAATTTCAGCTCCATCTTCCAAGCCAGCTTCGCTCACCGTCATATCAGGCTCAAGCACAGTCACTCCATGAATCAAAGTCGCTTCGCGATCTCGAACAACACCATCTTCGTCAGACTGCTGCATAATTTCTCTCACCGTTGTTGTGTCCACCACAGAAACCGTCCACTGATCTCCATTTGGGCTCGTGACCCACAGGGTCTTTTGCGCCATGGCGGCACTTGGCGCGTCCGTGACTTGCATCCTACAGGAAAAGCACAACCCTACAAAACTGATGCGGTAGACTGGAGGACGTTGCAAGGTCTTATTTGAGGAAGTATCAAAAGAGATCAATCAAATTTGAATCATTTGTGTGTCAATCTGAGAAAATATCTTTTTACCCTCGGACTCTAAGCCAAGAAGAATCTTGATCACAACACAATCCAAGAACCCTTGTAAAAAAAGACAATTCCCAGAGAACCCCTTATTGTTGTGTTGTTTTTGCATTTTTGGGTAAATGTTTGAACAACACTTAACTAGACACGGCTAACAACTAAAACTCAGGCAACTCAAAGCAAGCCAGGATCTCCGACAGCCACTTTTCCTCCTGAGATCTCAAATGCTGATGAAAAGTGGGTGAAATCGTCGTTGCTCCTGTGGCATTCTACCGGTTTTCTGTGGTTTTTCTAGGGTTTTCAGCGGTTTTTCTAGGGTCTATTCTAAACCTCAGGCTTTCTGCCAGCCACGAGCGAAGGGCTGCAACCTTCAAAGACATCGTTCCCCATGGTGGTCACAGATTCGGGAATTTCCACCTCTGCCAGGGAACTGCAGCCATGAAAGGCTCGGTCTCCAATGGTGGTCATTGAGTTGGGAATTTCTACTCGCGTCAACGCGCTACAGCCATGAAAGGCCATGCCTAAAATGCAGGTCACGGAGTTGGGGATTTTGACCTGTGTCAAGGAACTGCAGCCACTAAATGCACTAGGCCCAATGATGTTCACAGAGTCGGGAACGTCGACTTGCGTCAGGGAACTGCAGCCTGCAAAGGTCATGAATTCAATCCTCTTCATAGAAGTAGAGAGTCCCACCTGCTTGAGCGACCTGCACACATGAAATGCCCCGTCCGCAATGCTGGTCACTGAGTTGGGGATTTCTACTTCTGTCAGGGAGCTTTGAGAGAAGGCGCCAGGTCCAATTCTGGTCACAGAATTGGGGATGTTGATGTGTTGCAGGGAGCTGCAGCCATGAAAGGCCCTGTCTTCAATGCTTGTCACAGTATCGGGAATCACCACTTTCACCAAGTCCTTGCAACGACAAAATGCCTCTTCATCAATGCTTGTGGTCCCAGGTGGAATCCGCACATAAAGAGGCTGATCCGTTTTGTCACCTGTCCAGCTGGCCATCTCAACAAATGGGTCGGACCAAACCAGGGAAATTTCAGCTCCATCTTCCAAACCAGCTTCTCCCACGGTCATATCGGGCTCAAGCACAGTCACTCCATGAATCAAAGTCGCTTCGCGATCTCGAACAACACCATCTTCGTCAGACTGCTGCATAATTTTTTTGACCTTGGACTTGCTTCAGAAGTAGAAAAAAGATCTCTCGAAGGCCCTTAAGAAAAGCCATTAAAAACAAACACAAAAAAACACACAAAAAAACAAAAAGCAAAGCCATGTGACAGTCGTTGTATCCTGCACAGAGACCATCCTCTGATCTCCATCTGGGCTGGTGACCCGAAGCCTTTTTGCCATGGCTGGTGCTGCGAATCTACTTGATTGGAAACACCCCATTTAACTGACTCAGTGATTGTGGCCAAAGGAGGTTTATCAACAACGTAGCTACGAGCAATTGGCTCGATCAGCCAAGAGTGAGCGGCGACAACAGGAAGAGTTTGCGTAATCAGCGCACACAAGATATAGCAAGGTGAACAGCTTCTCCAAAGTCCGAAACCAACACCGATTTCCTTTTTCTTCGCCCTTTCAAAACATTTGTCAACTGGAAAGTCGTCTGCCCCAAAATGGATGAGAAGTACTTAAGGAATATTCCTTGAAATACCAGGCTTCCTTATATGGTTGAAGGCATACGCCCTAATTAAGGGGTATTGGAGTCTCTGGGTACCTCTGACCCACTGACATACCTGAAATATAGCGTCTGCGATGCAGAGTTGCCACTAGGACCCAGAAGATGCCAGACGTCCCGTGGACCTTGGACCCTCTGCACATGAAGCCCTTTATGGAACCCAAGCCCTCAACCTCCAAATAGATAGGGTTTAGGGTTTGGGGTTTGGGGTTTGGGGTTTGGGGTTTAGGGTTTAGGGTTTAGGGTTTAGGGTTTAGGGTTTAGGGTTTAGGGTTTAGGGTTTAGGGTTTAGGGGGTTGGAGGAGGGTTTTGAGGATTGGGGGTTTTAGAGTTCCAAGGTTGAAAGGGCTTAGCGGGCTCAAATCTCTTGGAGTAGTGGAGGGCCTGGTTCGCAGGAACGAATCAGGGCATCGAAGACCAAGGCGTCTGTTGGAACCAGCTGGGAAGACATGTCCTCCGCAGAGCGGTCATGCACCCTGGCCCTACACACCGGAAACCAGGCACCCCAAACACCCCACAATGCTCCAAACGCCCCAAACGCCCCAAACGCCCCAAACGCCCCAAAACGCCCCAAAACGCCCCAACGCCCCAAACGCCCCAAACCCCCCAAACGCCCCAAAACACCCCAAAGGCCCCAAAGTCTTCAGAGGAGTTCAACAGGCCTCGTGCAGCACGAGCGCCGTCTCCCACTGGCCGGCACGTGCACAGGCCGTCATCACGGAGCCACACAGGATTGTATCACATCTGAGGCCGCTCTCCCGGAGATCCTGGCTGGGGTTTAGGGTTTAGGGTTTAGGGCTTAGGGCTTAGGGCTTAGGGCTTAGGGCTTAGGGCTTGGGGCTTAGGGCTTAGGGCTTAGGGCTTAGGGTTTAGGGTGGCCGGGGCTTGGCTTCGGTTCTAGGGTTTTGGGCTCAATGCGGGTTTCCGTTATTAAGGGTACCTTATTGGGCATCCCGAACATAAGGGGGGTCCTACTTTTTGGGGGGTCTACATGAGCGGTCCCATATTTTCGTAAAGCCCCAACGCGGCTGAATGCTGATACGAAAAACATCGACACTCTGGAGGCCCACCGAGAAGCTACAACGCAGCTCAAATGGAACCCTAGACCCTAAACCCTAAACCCTAAACCCTAAACCCTAAACCCTAAACCCGCACATGATGCCATACCGACTATTGGCTCAGAACGCCTGAAAAAAAACGCTCGAAAGCAAGAGGCTGCAATCAGCACACCCTGCCACTCCAGCCGGATCCCCCAAAGTCATCACCATCGCGCAAAAGCCTGAAGACAACACCCTATACACGGGCAGCCCTGAACCCCTAAACCCTAAACCCCACAACCCTGAACCCCAAACCCTAAACCCTAAACCCCGAAAAAGCCCCGCTTAAACCCCAAAAAATATCCTGGAGGAGGCGCAGGGCCGTCGGCCACTGCCGCCCGAGTGCAGCCGCCCGGATGCCCGAACTGTAGCTGACCACCGACTTCTCGGCCTTGGGGATTTAGGGTTTAGGGTTTAGGGTTTAGGGTTTAGGGTTTAGGGTTTAGGGTTTAGGGTTTAGGGTTTAGGGTTTAGGGTTTAGGGTTAGGGTTTAGGGTTTAGGGTTTGGGTTTAGGGCTTGGGGTTTGGGATTTGGGGTTTGGGGTTTAGGGTTTGGGGTTTGGGGTTTGGGGTTTGGGGGTTTGAGGTTTGGGGTTTGGGGCTTCTGGTCTTTCTTGGTCTCTGTGTTCCCTTTGTGGGGTTCCCCCCCCCCCTTGTGCTCTCGGAATGCTGTTGGACATGACAGAGACAAAGCTCCAACGACAGGTTCCCGCAAAGACGGAGCCGCGTCACTGACATCTCATGCAACAGGTGCAGCGCCCACTGCCACTGGCCAGCCTTCACCAGGCTGTCCATGCCCGAATTCAAAAGCGCAGTCGAAAGCATGCCAGTATTGCCAGACTTGCCAGAGTTGTCAGCCTCCGCTGCACACAACAAGGCGAGAACAGACTCCCAGGCAGACGGCACTCCACAGGCACCAACGGCAGCCCCAAGGAGGATCTGATCAAACGGCACACGAGCCCACGACAGTCTTCGAAGAGTGTGGAGTGCTTCTTTCCACTGCCGTTGTCGGCCCAACTGTGCCACCGATTTCGTTGCAGCCTTTACATTCAACGTATCCGGCCTCTCCTGGAGGGTCATAGCGGCCATCCATGCGAAGCGAGTTTGGCGAAAATGCTCAAGCTATCTCCATGACTATTTCAAAGCCCTCACTTCCGGTTTAAACGACTGCGATACAGATGCCTGCTATGCCTGCTTTTGGTGCTACCACCAGCGACTGCGGAACTTGCTTCAAGGTAGATCTCTCCCCAATGGCACTTTCAGGCAATACACTCAATACATTAAGTACCGATAACGCTGAAGAAGACTCTGCATAGGTGCACGGTTCAGTCCAGTCGAAGTTGTGGCCTAGGGGTATAAACTAACAGTACCTTGCGCCCTTCCCATTTTTGTGCCCAAATTAATTCCTCGAAACGAAGATGCACCAGAACATGTATGCGAGTCATTTTACTTCCCTCTGCCGGATTGCCGCGCCAGGCCTGGTCTGTGCCAGCGCTTACCCAGTGCATTGGCAAGGGCCTCATCTGAAGCACTTGCTGACGGCGCTCCGCAGCCTGCCGAATCCAAGGCCAAAACTCTCTGCAGATACAACCCCCCCATGTAAACCCCAACAAATCGTAGCTTAGGCCTGGTGCCGGATATCGCATACTATGCAGGTAAAGGTTCGGAGCAAGCAGGTGCTGTGCCTGACACGACGGCATGGAATGAGACATGCAAGGGGGTACAGGGAGTTCGGATGTTGAGGTCACAAAGCAACACTGAGTGCTGTAGCGCCTGAAAATCCCAAGGATCGCAGCAAGATGCATCATAGTTCACCAATGCTGCAAATTCCCGGCGTGCCAGCTCTTCTGCAGGTTTGCTGTCTGCCACTATTGGCATCTGCGTCATGGCAGGACACGAATAGTAAATCTCAAACCTAAGCAAACAAAGGCAGCATTCCGAACTAATCGAATCAGTCGTCATGCAAGCGAGAGGTTCACTGCAAACATGAGGTTTGGTCCCCGTCCCTGTAGACCACAGAACTTGATACGTAGGCAATCGTTCACAGAAGTCTCGGAGACACGTGGCCCCTCCCTGACAACTAAATCTGAATATGGAAGATAGAAACAAAAGTCTTGGTCACCTGCCTGTCCCAGCAAAGGACATGATGAACATACAAGCGACGGAATACAGCGGGTTCAGCTGTTCTGAAGTTGCAAAGGCTCTGTTGTATTGCAACCTGCAACAACGATACATTATTTTGAGGATACTAGCAATAACAACAACAATGATAACATTAACTGCAATAGCAATAGTAATAGTGACGATAACAATAGTTGTAAACAACATATGGCAACCGTATGTGGCGTTTGTTCAACATTCCTGACATGGGAACTGTCTACCTTTCGCGGAAACGCGTATTCCTTCAGCGTCTTCTTTCGCGAAGCTTTTGCCGAGCCTATCTGCAGAATTTGCATTGCAATGCAGATATCAACTTTGAGACGGACGATAGGGGCTTGAGGTGTGGTTCGCGGTGTTGCTGTCGATTTTGGCTGCTGACGTCGTCTCTGACCAAGTTTCTGCGCAGCCTGGGCACGGCACTGTTGCCTCTTCACACGGGCCTGGAAACCCGCCCTGAACTGAGAGTTCTCCATTTCCCGTCCCGCTGAAAGATAGGGTGGGGGGGACTCCTACTCCTCCTCCTCCTCCTCTCCTACTCCTCCTACTCCTACTCCTCCTTACTACTATTACCACACTACTACTACTACTACTACTACTACTACTACTACTACTACTACTACTACTACTACTACTACTACTACTACTACTACTACTACTACTACTACTACTACTATACTACTACTACTACTACTACTACTACTACTACTACTACTACTACTACTACTACTACTACTACTACTACTACTACTACTGCTACTACTACTACTACTACTACTACTACTACTACTACTACTACTACTACTACTACTACTACTACTACTACTACTACTACTACTACTACTACTACTACTACTACTACTACTACTACTTGTGAGCAGGTCTAAGCACGCACGTTGCATGTGCAGAGCTGCCAGAACCAGTACTGTAGTTTTCTTTGCATGTGTAGTTTTGCAATTCGTAACAATGCCAATATTTTGGCTCAAGTACCGAGCTTGTGCCTTTGAGCACGGTAGAGTCGTACAGTAGCTCTTAGGTTGCTGTGCGGTCCGACCGGACGCACTCAGGCGTAGCTGCACAAGTGCTTGAACTCGCGAAGTCGTAAAACAGCGTGACCGGGCTGTGATTGCATTGGTTTAGTGCAAGTCCAGTGCTGGTCGACTTCACAATTGGGGGCTGTTCTGGGAAACGTACAGCTCTTGTGCCTACGGCCCGAGTGGGCAAGCATTGCTTTGCTTGTCTGTCGCGGTCCGTGACCTGGACGCGTGGACTGTGTGCCACGCTTGCGGCCTGTTAACCAAGGCGCGGCGCTTCGCGTGCCACGCCTGCGGCCTGCTAACCAAGGCGCGGCTTCTCGCCTTGTGTTGCGGCAATGTCCGCAGAGGTTGCAGGTCAGGCTGAGGGCGTCACCCTCCTCGAAGCTATCGAGGGTGGAGACGTTCCCTATCCCGAGCGGATGAGCTACGTCGCTTGGCTTAAGTGGCGTAGGGAGACTGGCAGCCGTCCATTGTCCAAGCGGGATGGGGTCAGCACTACGCCAGAGCAAGAGGCGGCTCTCTGGCGGAAAGTCATGAAGTTCCTCCATGACGCCGAAGAGGAGGACGAGGATGAAGAGGAAGAAGAAGAGGACTCCGAGCTAGTCCCTGAGGCCTCGGGCGCTGGAGGCGACAGTCCGCCGCGGGTGGACGTCAGCCGCGGTTAGGGAGCTGGCCATGGTCCCTACCGGTGCTGCCTATGTCCCTGCTACGGCACCAGGGTCCCGCCCGGCGGGACCGTCCGGTCCGCCGTCGACAGCAGGTTCAGTGCCAGGCACCGCAGAGGGCTTGCAGGCGGAGCTGCGCGCGATTTTCCGTCCAGACCAAGAACCGGTCGCGGACTACTTGACGCGCGTTTCGCGGATTGTCCTCGCGCTGAAAGCGCATGGAGTCACGGTGAGCTCCCGTGACCTTGACGCCTTAAGCACCAAAGCCACCCTCCTTGCGGATGAGTTCTCCAAGATAGGCGGGGACTGGCATCCTACGAAGATGGTCCGTCGGCTGCGGACCAGGTTCTCGGTCGCGGCTTTGCGCGGTGGCGAGGACCCCGAAGACGCAGAGGAGATTCAGCGCGAAATCCAATGCATCGGGGAGCTTATCCTCGCGTTAGGGGGAAAAGAAAGCTCGAGCCAAGAGAAGGTTTGGAGCTCCCCGTCCGATGTGCCAGTTGAAGCCGTGGGGCCGCGTTCCCCAGGGCTCCCACAGCCTGCGACTGCAAGTGGGTTGGGGGTAGGATTGGACCGTGGAGGTTTGGACACTGCTGAGGTTGCAGGTGGTCCTTCCGCGGCCCGTGTCCTGGGCGCGGCGGACGGCGATTCCCCTTTGCGCGCGAAGCTTGCTGCGCTAGAGATGGAGATAGAAGCCCTGAAGCGAGGTTCAGACGGCGGAGGTTCGCAGACCGGGTCCCAACACCCGGCGGGCGATCTCGCCGCCGCGCTCGCCGCCCAAACTGAGGCGCTGAAAGAAGCGTTAGCGCAGAGGGGCGGGCAAAGCTCCATAACTACGGTCAAAACTGACCTCACGTGGCCGACGCTGACCGACGACAAGTCGGACGCGCGAGACGTTGTCCTGTTCTACGAGGAGTTCGAGGACGTCTGCGCGCTGGCCAACAACTGTCGCGGTATGAGTGCGCGCGAAAAGCTGTTAGCGCTACGCGGGCGCTGCCGCGGCTCGCGCATGAAGACGTACACGAACGCGTACCGCGCGCGTGGAAATCGGGAGAGGTTCTCTCAGATCCACAGGCGGTGTATGACCGCATCAAGAACAAACACTTGATGTTCGGGGAATCGCGGGAGGAAAGAGAAGTCCGCGTGGATGGTGAGCACGCCTCTCTCGCTAAGGGTAAGCTCACAGGCCACCAATTCGAGCCTTTGTTTGAGGCCTCGATCGCGGACCTTGAGGCAGTAGGTCTCGGGAAGACCCCTCGAGAGTTGTATCTCTCATACCTCCGCAAGATGCCCCCTTATCTCCAGAAGGAGATCCGGAACGACAAAAGGTTGTGGCCTGGCGACCCCAAGGATGGCGGGTTGCGAGGACCGCAGACTTGGGAGGAGAGCCACAAAGTCGTTCTGGAGTACGAGCAGAGAGAAGCAGCGCACAGGGCTGTTTCCCACTCTGTGTACACGGCCACCGGTTCGCAGAGCGCGGACCCGGCGGTCGCGCTGGCTGAGGCTCAGAAGGAGATTAAGAGTCTCAAGGCCGCTGCGAAGGCTGCTGCGAAAGGAGCAGCTGCCGCGGCCAAAGCTGGCGCGGACCAGACGTATGCTGCTACGTCGAAGGGAGCTGGCAAAGGAGCGGACAAGAAGATCTGCTTTCACTTTCGCGATCATGGGAATTGCCCGAAAGGGGATGCCTGCCCGTACAGCCACGACAAGGAGCTTCGCAGAAAAGCTCTCGCGGCCAAGAAGGGTGACCAAACCTTTGCCACTGCGAAAGGTAAAGGCAAAGGGAAGGGAGGTGGCAAAGCAAAAGCCAACGCAAAGCCTAAGGCTGCGGCCAAAGGCGCGGCAAAGCCACCAGGCACTGTTTGCCCCTTTTTCTCCAAGAATGGGTCGTGCAAGAAAGGAGCCAGCTGCGACATGGTCCACAACCTGACGACCTCAGGAGGGACGCCGGCCTTGCCTGCCAACTGGGCCCCGCCCTCCGGTGCTTCCATGTCTAACCCCTTCGCCGCGTTCAGTGTCCAGATAGGCAGCTCAGGCGTCCAGGCAGGCGTCTTAGGAGCCGCAGGACACGCCGCGGTGCAGCAGCACGCGCTTCCGTTAAGCAAGGGCGGGCGGGACAAGTTCGCCACCTTGGACGATCTGCCGAAGGACTGGTGGAACCTGGCGGATAACGAGCCAGGAGGCTACCAGTACAGAACGGTGGTTCAGGTCCTCGACCGCAAGGTCGAGTGCA